GGGCACAGCGGAGCAGGTAAAGCCACCACATGCAATGCTGGCATCCCATATGGGTACCAGTTCAAGTCCCAACTGCTCCACTTCCGATCCAGCTCTCTGCTATGGCCTGGGAAAGCAGCAGAAGATGGCCCAAGTGCTTGGGCCCCTGCACCCGCGTGGGAGACCTGGAAGAAGCTCCTGGCTCCTGGCCTCGGATTGGCACAGCTCCAGCCATTGTGGCCTTCTTGGGGAGTGAACCAGCAGATAGAAGACCTCCCTCCCTCCCTCTCTTTCTGCCTCTCCCTCTCTCTGTGTAACTCTGACTTTTAATTAAATAAATAAATAACTAGAAAGGGAGGGAAGGAGGGAAGGAAGGAAGGCAGGCTGTTTGATAGACTCAGTCCTGAAAAGGTCTGAACAGGAAAGAAGAGACCCAACAGGAAGGTCATAACAGCAAGTACTGGGCCCGCTTGCACTCTGTGAGGGTGGCAGATGTTCCTAAATGTGTACATTAGACAGAAGAATCATACAACACAGCCTGGACACTGGGGCTACCAGAACCAGGACGGTCAAAAAGAATGCCACAGCCAGCTGGAAACAGAAATTAATAAGAATTTGTTCTCAGATGATGTTATAAAACTAATAGGAAAAAGCAGAAAATGAGAAGAATGGGAAGAATTTGGGAAGGCTTGGTCACTGATGAGACCACAGTAAAATCAAAGAGGTGCCAGCATTGTGGTGTAGTGGCTAAAACTGCCGCCTGCAGTGCCGGCATCCCATATGGGCACTGGTTCTAGTCCCGGCTGCTCCACTTCCAATCCAGCTCTCTGCTATGGTCTGGGAAAGCAGTACAAGATGGCCCAAGTCCTTGGGCCCCTACACCCACATGGGAGACCTGGAGGAAGCTCCTGGCTCCAAATCAGCGCAGCTCCAGACGTTGCAGCCATTTGGGGAGTGAACCAGCATACGGAAGACACTCACTCTGTCTCTGCCTCTGTAACTCTCAGCCTTTCAAATAAATAAATTTAAAAAAAAAAAAAAGGTAAGACCAGAATATAACTTCTAGCAGGTATCTGAAAAAACTGAGGAGGAAGCAGGACAAGTCTGAGGTCAGAAGAGGTGAGGTGCTTAGGTAACCACAGGTACACAGGTACTGAGTGCATCTGTGGATTAGTACCACGGTGGCTTTATACCGTTTATGAAAGCTTCAAATTCATTCTCGGCTACACACTGACACACACACACACACACACACACACACAGCAACTGGTGATTTTGCTGTTTCCTCTGCTCCCAGCACAGGCTGCAGTTTCTGTGTCAGTAGACAGGGAGTGCCTGGTTTTGAATCTAAAATCTGCATCCTTACTACCAAAGTTAAAATGCTTTCAAAAAGTATTATGGGCTTTGATAGAGCTAGGTGAAAAAAGCCAGTCACAAAATACCACACACAGTATGAGTCCATTTATCTGAAACACCAAAATAGTAAACCTAAGGTCAGAAAGGAGATTACTAGTGGACTCTAGCTGAGGGGTAGGGAGGAAGGATGGGCTGAGGGGAAGTGAGCGGTACCAGGTCTGGAGCTTCTTTCTGGGGTGATGAAAATGTCCTAAAATAACACATGGAGATGGCTGCAGAACTCTATGAATATACTAAAAACTGTTCACTTGTACACTTTAAATGGGAGAACTATATGAAAAGTTAATTATAACTCAAAATCATTACAAAAAAGAAGTTTCAGGCACACATAAGTACTGTGAGAGCATCTCCCCAGCACACATGACTTTGAGATTGGGTTGAAATAATAAGCCATCAGATGATTTAGGAAACATGAAAGATAAAAATAATTTAGCTTGGAAAAGACAGATTTACACTACATACACACGTACCTTTCAAATTATTTCTTACAATTGATCCAGATTTCCTAATATATACTTAAAAAAGGGCTGAAGGGTTTTTTTTCCAATAATTATGTCAAATGATCTTACACTAGATACCTGTAATTCAGTTTACAGAATTAAAATAACACACAGTAAGCCAATTCAATGAAAAGCAAAAGACCATGATTGCTGGACAGATGGGAAAGCCCATCTTACACACTTCAAAGCCAAAACCCTAACACAGAGGTCATCTTGCTGGAAAGACACCAGAGAACGACTTTCTGCCTCCAAAACAGCTCCTGAAAAGCCGGCTCCTGCTTCCCGCTGCTTCCTCTAGAATACAGCCAGTGCCGGCCTTGCCACTCAACAACAAGAAGACTGAAGAGGCAGCATCCCAGTGACCGTCAACCACTCCAAGTGCCAGGCCCTCAAGGCGCCTTTCCCTTCCCTTTCTAAATCACAGAACTTGGAATGGACACACACAACCCATGGCCAGCGGAATCTTACCAACCAAAGATCAAACGAGGCGGGCAATGAAGCAGTAGTGTTTCTGTACAAAACCGCTTGTGGATTGGAACCTAAAACCACCACATCTCTCTACTGAAAATGATCCTAAAGTAACACCCAGCTACTGGAAAGGTATAGTTTATAAGTAAATATCTCAAAGCAAGGATACAACTATTACTACTATCTCCAAGAGAACACATTTACTAAATTCAAAACACCACTGATCAAAGGTAAGACTGATTCTTTCAAACTCTTAGATCTTAAACATTTTTGATTCAGCAAGTTCAAAATATATTTAACATATTTCATCTGCCTATTAAAAAAATTAAAGTTTTCAAAAAACCTAGGAAAATATAAATAGGTCCAATGAATCAAGAAACATAGGGGCTGGCATTGTTGCATAGCAAGTTAAGCCATCTGCAACACCAGCATCCAATATGGGTGCTGGTTCAAGTCCCAGCTATTCTATATATATATATATACACACACACACACACACACACACACACACATATATATACATATACATATACAGGCAGAGCTACAGAGAGGCAGAGGCAGAAAGGTCTTCCATCCGCTGGTTCACTCCCCAGATGCCAGCAATGGCCAGAGCTGAGTTGATCCAAAGCCAGGAACCGGGGGCTTCTTCCGGGTCTCCCACATGGGTGCAGGGGCCCAAGGACTAGGGCCATCTTCTGCTTCTTTCCCAGGCCATAGCAGAGAGCTGGATTGGAAATGGAGCAGTCGGGACGCGAACTGGTGCCCATATGGGATGCTGGCAGTGCAGATAGCGGCTCTACCCGCTATGCCATAGTGCCGGCCCCTACTCCACTTCTGATCCAGCTCCTTGTTAATATGCCTGGGAAAGCAGCAGAGGATGGCCCAAGTCCTTGAGTCCCTGCACCCACGTGGGAGACCCAGAAGCAGCTCCTGGTTCCTGACTTGAGTCTGGCCCAGCCCTGGCCATTGCAGCCATTTGGGGAGTGAACCAGCAGATACAAGGTCTCTCTGTCTCTCCATCTTTCAAATAAATTTAAGAAAACAAAGGAACACAGAGTATGTTCTCCCTATTAAATATGACCTATTACACCATAGCTATTAACTAATCCAAGTTACAGAAAGCCTTAAATAATAAAGAATGTGAGAACAGAGTCTTTTCTCCTACTAAAATACTCTCCCACCTACATAAAATTACTCTGGCCTGGAGCCTGGTAGATTAAGGGGCAAGGCTGGTAGCATTCTCCATGCAGCAGCTCCTGTGGCTCCACACACAATGAAGCCCTCTGACATAAACTGAACACCAAGCTCTCCCAGAAGTTGCCCAGGAATCACAAAATGGGCCAATCAGAAATCTTTCCCACCTACTGGGAAATAAACCAGCCTTTGGAGGGCAAATGCTAACTTTCCACAACATGTTCTAGCGTTATGACCCATGCATTAAATGTTGGCGTTAAAAAACAAAAACAAAAACAAAAACAAAACAAAAAAAAAACTGTTCACTTTCCAGAAATAATGCTATCACTACAGGACAGAGCCTTTGTTTTTAAATTATTTGAGAGGCAGACATAGACAGAAACAGACACAGAGCTCTCATCTACTGGTGTCTTACCAAATGTCTCCAACAGCAAAGGTTGGACCAGTCCAAAACCAGGAACTCAATCCAGGTCTTCTACCTGGATGGCAAGGATCCCTCCCTTCCCACCATCAACACTGCCAAAGGTCTTCGTTAGCAGGAAGTTGGTATCAGGGGCCAGTGCCAGGACTTGAACCCAGGTACTCAGATGTAAGACTCCAACATCTAGGTATCAGCCATCTTAACTAGGCCAAACATCAGTCTCCATACCTTTAAAGATATTTTCCCCTCATTTGATCAAGAATTCTGAGAAGGGCAGACACCTTCCCCCACTTCACAGATGAGAAAACCTGCTGAACTGCCTCCTTGACTTCTTCACTTGCAGGTCAACTTGCATCTCAAAACCAACCTGTACAAAATCACCTCCCAATTCCCCACCCAAACCTGCTCCTCCAGTCATCTCCGTTTCAATAAATGCCACCTCCCCATTCCATTTGCTCAGTCCTAAAATCTTGGTGTGGTCCTTGACTATACTCCATCACACTCCACAGGACCATCGGGACTCTTGTTAGCCCCACCTAAAACACATCCAGAATCCCACCATTGGTCATCTCCACTCCTGCTACCAAATCTCACCTAGATGACCACTAGAATGCTAGAAATCTCTAATGGCTCCATTGAACCTCTGTGCCTTTCCCATTCTACTCACTATGCTACAGAGTCAGTCAGAAACCCTTTTTACATAATCTTCAGGTGGCTTCCTATTTCAGAACTGTCCACTGCTATACCCAGGAAGAAAACAGTATCTGCCATCTAGGAAGTGTTCAATGGACACTGTTGATCAGCAAACAAGAGAAAAACAGCCCAAGTCATACAGGTAGCACACAGCAGAGCCAGGACCAGAACAAAATTATCCAGTGTTCTTTGGTAACAATGAGACGATATTTGCAATAGAAAATAATCCTTATTGAGGAAATCCTTCAATTTTACTCTGCATAACTGAATTGCTCAATGCATAATCAATACTAGTTTGAATTTCTAACAACAAATTAAAATGGAAGTACCTTCTATAAAGCCATGACATCTCAAACCAGGTGCTCTGAATGTTACATCTATCTGGCAGCCAGGGCAACGCCAGCTTATTATCACAGCTCTGGGTCTGAGCTTCAGTGCAACTCCGCTGCATTCAGTGACATGATGGAGCCAGACTGCAAGAGTACCACCAGCCGAAAGGGTCCAGGCTCTGAAAGGCTCAGAACCAAGCACCTAGAAGAAGAGGTGAAAAGTATTCCTAAACCTCCCACACTAGTATTACACCAACCATGGGAAACAGGAATAAAGTTTACAGTATGTAAGTAGCAACACCTGTAAGATTAGATTCAGGATTGTCTACTACAAAATTTACAAAGAAAGATTCTCAGGATTCAGTGTAAATTACCCTTTATTTATTTAAGATTTATTTATTTATTTGAAAGTCAGAGTTACACAGAGAACGAGAGGCAGAGAGAGAAGTTTTCCATCCGATGCTTCACTTCCCAGTTGGCCGCAATGGCCAGCCAGAGCTGTGCCAATCCGAAGCCAGGAGCCATGAGCTTCCTCCGGGTTTCCCATGTGGGTGCAGGAGCCCAGGGGCTTGGGCCATCTTCTGCTGCTTTCCCAGGCCATAGCAGAGAGCTAAGATCGGAAGAGGAGCAGCCAGGTCTCGAACCGGCGCCCATATGAGATGCTGGCACTTCAGGCCAGGGCATTAACCCACTGTGCCACAACGCCAGCCCCAATGATACTTTTTTAAAGATTTATTTTTCCAAGAGTCAGAAAGAAAGACAGATCAACAGACCCATCTTCCATTCGCTGGTTCTCTCTCCAGATGGCCACAACGGCCAGGGCTGGGCCAGGCCAAAGCCAGGAGCCAGGAGATTCTTCCAGGTCTCCCACATGGGTGCACGGGCCCAGAGACTTGGGCCATCTTCTACTGCTTTCCCAGGACATAGCAGAGAGCTGGATCTGAAGTGGAGCAGGCAGGACTCGAATCAATGCCTACATGGACTGCTGGTATCACAGGTGAAGGCTTCACCCGCCATGCCACAACACCAGTCTGATGACTTTTTAAGATTTATTTATTTATTTGAAAGGCAGAGAGAGAAAGAGATCTTCCATCTACAGATTCACTTCCCAAATGGCCACAATGGCCAAGCCAGGAGCTTCTTCCAGGTCTCTCACACGAGTATCAGGAGCCCAAACACTTGGGCTATCTTCTGTTGCTTTCCCATGCCATTAGCAGGGAGGGGGTCAGAAGTAGAGTGACCAATACACAATATATCACATCACAGGTGGTGTTTTACCCGCTATGCCATAAAGCTGGCACCGATGTTTGCTTTTATATCAGAATGAAACTACTGCTAAAAGTATCCACTATTACAGAATTCTCTCACTAAAATTAGTTAAAAACAAAATTCTATGGCGCAGTAGGTTGATCCTCCGCCTGCAGCATCGGCATCTCATGTGGGCGCCAGTTCTAGTCCTGACGGCCCCTCTTCCAATCAAGCTCTCTGCTATGGCCTGGGAAAGCAGTAGAAAATGGCCCAGGTACTTGGGCCCCTGCACTCTCGTGGGAGACCAGGAAGAAGCTCCTGGCTCCTGGCTCCAGATCAGTGCAGCTCTGGCCATTGCAGCTATCTGGGGAATGAACCAATGGAAGGAAGCCCTTTCTCTCGGCCTCTCCCTCTCACTGTCTGTAACTATACCTCTCAAATAAATAAATAAAATCTAAAAAAATAAAAAACCCTCTAAACCTCTAAATTTCTTTCTTCAGTTCTTTGAAAAACATTTCTAAGAAAAACATAAACTTCTATTATCTAAAGAAAGGCCTAAATCTCTCTAAATCATAATACTAGTAAGTTCAGAACTTTAACTGTAGCTCTAAAAGGAAATTTAATTCAAACTTCAACTTTCTCCCATTTACAAAGAAATTACTTAGCATATAATAGATGAACAGAGAAGACTTGTTGAATAACTCTTCCAAGATCTGACAATTAATAACACACACACGGGGCTGGCATTGTGGCGTAGTGGGTTAAACCACCACTTGCGGGCATCCCTTACAAGCGTGCCAGCTGGAGTCCTAGCTGCTTTGCTTCCAATCCAGCTTCCTGCCAATGCGCAAGGGGAAGGCAGCAAATGATGGCTCAAATACATGGGTCCCTGCCACCTATATGAGAGACCAGAATGGAGTTCCTGGCTCCTGATTTCAGACTGGCCCAGCCTTGGCTATTGTGGCCATGTGGAGAACGAACCAGCAGATGAAAAATCTCTGTCAGTCTCTCTCTTTCTCACTCTCTCCCCACCCCTTTTGCTCTGCCTTTCAAATAAATAGCAAAATACAGGACTAGTCAGAAATAGGTTTTTAAATTCTCTTAAGTGTGGGCATGTGAATAGAAAAAACCCAAGATTTGAAAGCCTTCTCTGGGTCTCAGGAAAACCTTAACCCGGCACACCGGGTTCTAGTCCCGGTCGGGGCGCCGGATTCTGTCCTGGTCGCTCCTCTTCCTGTCCAGCTCTCTGCTATGGCCCGGGAGTGCAGTGGAGGATGGCCCAGGTCCTTGGGCCCTGCACCCGCATGGAAGACCAGGAGGAAGCACCTGGCTCCTGACTCCGGATCAGCACGGTGCGCCGGCCACAGTGCGCCAGCCGCAGCAGCCACTTGGCGGGGGGGGGGGGGGGGGGGGTGTGAACCAACGGCAAAAGGAAGACCTTTCTCTCTGTCCACTCTGCCTGTCAAAAAATAAATAAATAAGTAATTTGAAATACATTAAAGCAGTTTCCTTTAGTTCCCTTACTTAGAAAAAGTACTTAGCACAATAAATATTACCAAGATATATCTCCTTTGAAATCAAAAAGCAGAACTGTCTAGTGCTTCCTTCTTCTTCAATACAAAATATATATATATTTACTATAGGGCTATTTTCATAATAAACAGCTGCAAGTCTTTGCATCGGAAGTTAAGCAAATGGCCTCTGAATAAAAGAAAGATTCAAATGGGTAAGGGGAAAAGAACACTGAAAAGGACCGGATCAATCGCTAAAAAAGTATCAGGGTACACTGGCACAGCAGGTGAAGACACTGCGTGGGAGGCCCGCATCCCATCTCAGAGCACTACTTCAAGTCAGCTACTTCTGCTTCCAACCCAGCTTCCTGGGAGGCAGAAGATGGCTCAAGTGCTGGGTCCTTAACCCCCATGAGAGACCAGGATGGAGTTCTGGGCTTCTGGCTTTGGCCTGGTCCAGGCTTGGCTGTTGCAGGAATTTGGGGAGTGAACCAGCAGTTAAAACAGATCGATCAATCAGTCAATTGATCTATCTACCTCTCTCTTTCAAGTAGATGAAAATAAACAAACATATAAAAATTTTGTTTAAATAACAGCTCCATGACAGCAAGAATCACATATTCCACAAAGGGCCACTAACTCCTAGAATAGAGCAGAATTTAATGAAGATGGTCTAAGTGAGTAAATTACCCAGGTGGACACACATTCATTTGGTCACCATTAAACAAATCTTTGATAGGCCTACTATATGTAAGCATTCCACATTTTTCCTCCAAGGAAAATTTCACCAAATGCTCTTTTCACCAATATTCCAACCAAAATACTCCCCCCGGTTTTATTAAGAAAGTGAAAAAATATACCTTGTATAACCTAAATTAATTACTATACTACAGAGGCAATTTAATTTCCTCCAACTTCTCTCCTTTGATCATCCTGAACAGACTAATTTTCTGTTCTTTATGCATCCAGAAAATAAACGGGATAAACGGGTGCTATGGCTAAGTAGTCTACCTACACATCTGGCCCACTCCTATTCAAAGGGCAGGTATGGGCAATCAGAAACAACCAGACAGGAGGAATAGGGAAGGTAGTACTCTGTTGAGGGGAAAAATATCACAAGTGACAGATCTTACAACTACTGGTCCTTCTGGAAATCCGTATTATTAAGAATTTTCCTTATCACTGAGCTACAACTGACACAGATGGTGCTGGGCACTAATACCCACTAAGCTATACATCCAACCTTCAACAGATAAATTTAAGGTCCACAGCCTTTGAAGTTTTCCAAAGCTTTTGGATTCAGTATCCGTTGACAGCACTTTGCAGTCAGGAAACGCCAAGCACTATATTGCCAGTTGCCAGCTTCCCATATAGTTTGCCACTTAAGTGACAGAGAGAGACTATCTCCCATCCACTTTTCCCATTCACTTCCCAAATGTCCACAACAGCCATGGGGCTGAATCCAAGTCTCCCACGTGGGTGGCAGTGACCAATTAAGTTGAGTCACCATCAGCTGCTGCCTCCCACAGTGTGCATTAGCAGAAAACTGGAATTGAGAGCTACAGTATCAAACCCAGGCACTCCAATACAGAATAGTCTCAGCCAGCATCTTAACCACTATCCCGAACACCCACTCCTTAACTCATTCCTGAAGGAAATCTCGTCTTCTAAAAAAATTGAAACATTCTTTGAAGTGTTTTGTTACTTCTCTGCTAATCAACATCTGGAACAGCATATTTTAAAAGTAAATGTCACTATACACTTCCTAACTTCAAAACCTAATTCAGGGGACCAGCACTATGGTACAGCAGGTAAAGCCACCACCTACAGCATCCTATTGCGGGTGCCAGTTCAAGTCCCGGCTGCTCCATTTCCAATCCAGCTCCCTGCTAATGTTCCTGGGATAGCAGTAGAAGATGGCCCAAGTCCTTGGGCCCCTGCACCCATGTGGGAGACCCAGAGAAAGCTCCTGGCTCCTAGCTTTGGGTCGGTCCAGCTCCAGCTACTGCAGCCATCTGGGGAGCAAACTAGCAGATGGAAGCGCTCTAGCTCTAACTCTGTCTTTCAAATAAATAAATAAATAAATCTTCAAAAAAAACATATTACAAAGTTACAGTAATCAAAATAGTATGGTACTGACATAAATAACAAATAGTTCAATGGAGGGGGCCGGTGCCATGGCTCACTTGGTTAATCCTCCGCCTGCAGCACTGGCATCCCATATGGGCACCAGGTTCTGTCCCAGTTGCTCCTCTTCCAGTCCAGCTCTCTGCTGTGGCCCGGGAGGGCAATGGAGGATGGCCCAAGTGCTTGGGCCCCTACAACCGCATGGGAGACCAGGAGGAAGCACCTGGCTCCTGGCTTCCGAATGGCGTAGCTCTGGCCATAGCGGCCATTTGGGGAGTGAACCAACGGAAGGGAGACCTTTCTGTCTCTCTCTGTG